TTTTATTTTGATCTATTTTGGATGGCGTGACATTGAAAACCAGCAATAGTATAGTATACATATTACCAGAACAAATTGTCTAAAACATGAACAGAAACCACAAAATTATACGATATACGCTATTACGATAACAAATATACTTAGCAATTAATGAATTCGGCTTTCGTAGGATATGAAGAATTAAGTAGATCTCGGAGGGTGTTATCCACCTCGGTCTTCGGCCTCGGCGGATAACACCCTCCGAGATCTGCTTAATTCTTCATATCCTACGAAAGCCGAATTCATTAATTGTTTTATTATTCATTCAAAATATTTCCTAGTTTAAAAACATAGCTAAAACATGCTTACCTGGATCGATGTTAAGTTCATCTTCGATAGTGTACCTTAAGGTTTGTCCAGCTCCGCAAATATTCTCCAAATAGCAGATGTCACCCTCCGAGTTGTCTTCTTGCTGTTTTTGCCATGTTTTTAGCAATTATTTCGTCGAGTTCCAGCTGTAGTTCTTACTCTTGAAACGCGCGAAATGTCCGCCATTTTTTTTTTCACAACCAAAACAACTCAACCTCGTCCCCAGGTCTTCTCGGTTAACGGTGCCTTAACCTGTAGCGGGCTGCATTTTTGACGTCACCTCCTCGTTAAACACAAAATTCTTCCAAATTTGGTCATCTTTAACAGGTTATGGTGAATTATGCGTGTGCTTTTAGCCAATCAGAATTGGAGAAATATTTTGAATGAAAAATAATATAAGTTAATCAACTAATTAATTAGATCTTTTGGTTCAAGATCTGTTTTCTTTTTTGAAACATTAGATGGGCATATTTGGCTATAACTTGATAAGCCTGGTTTTCATATGTCGGGAAAAATCCCAGACGATCGGGGATTTTACTGTTTCCCGACTGTTCCAGATTTTGCCGACTAATGAAAAATCGAAATCGTAGATATCCCCGATCGTCTGGGATGGACAGGGACAAATCTGGAGAATCGGGCGCGTTTCTATTTTCCCGACGCGTCCCAGATTTCTGCGATGGTCGGCGATCATTCCCGACAAATGAGAACTCAAATTTGAACCGTCGGGGACGTCGGCGATGGATTTTGCTCATTACCAATCCCCTAAATTGCTGGGCTCCAGTCCCCCTATCACAAATAAACATGGCGTCCCTCGAGAATCTGGGACAGACTTCTGGCGATTATATCCGATATATCGGCAAAATCTGGGATGGTCGGCAAAAAGTAAAATCCCCGAACGATTTTACTGTTTCCCGACTGTCCCAGATTTTGCCAACAAATGAAAACTCGAAATCGTAGATATCCCCAATCGTCTGGGATGGACAGTGAAAAACTCTGGAGAATCGGGAGCATTTCTATTTTCCCGACGCGTTTCAGATTTCTGCGATGGTCGGCGATCATTCCCGACAAATGAAAACTCAAATTTGTACCGTCAGGGACGTCGGCGATGGGTTTCGCTCATTACCAATCCCCTAAATTGCTGGGCTCCAGTCCCCCTATCAAAAATAAACATGGCGTCTCTCGAAAACACGGAAATGGTGCTCTTCCCTATACGGAAGTTGAAAGACTGCGATTTGGAATCGCCGGCTTGCAAGGTATCTCAATGTCACGACTAATCGTTCAGCTGGTGATATCGGATCTCGACTTCTACATGCTTCCTTTTGAATGTAAGGAGCAAATCTTCAAAGCATTTTGGACTCATCCTGAATATATCGAAAGAAGTACTCTCTGTCTGACAGGCTTAACTCGGAAAACAGTATGTGGAACTGACCATATTTCTCCCGTTTTTTCAAATATTCTCTAATCCAAAACCTCTTCGTTCTTCGTTTGGTTGGCTTGTTTTTTTTTCAGAATGGAAAACGTTGCATTGACTAGTGCAAGAACAGCATAAGCTCGTGTGCATCCATGTTGCTGTAATGCTGTTACATTTGTGTTCAAGTTTCAATTTTTGGCACACTTTCCATTTCCCGCCAAATTCATAATCGGGAGAATCTGGGACAGACTTCTTGGCGATTATCCGATATATCAGCAAAATCTGGGATGGACTACAAAAAGTAAAATCCCCGATCGTCTGAGATTTTCCTGACATATGAAAAAAACAGTGAACTGCTGGATGTTGTTGATTAGGCTTGTCTTTAATGAAGAAACCTGTGACGAACGGTCATGCACTTGTGATTATTACAGCTATGTTAGTGATCTGTTTCTTGTTTAAGTTTGTAAGCTCAGGCAAGGTGGATATAAGAGGAAGAATTCTGGCCAACAAAGGACTGAATCGGGAAAACAGGTAACGAACAGGGCCAAAAGCTAGAGGTTGGCTTGCCGGCAATAGATTTGAATCCTTTAAGAAACGTGCCTGTAAGTCCTAATACGCAAATCTATTTCTCTGTTTGCAAATTGCATGGTTGTCAATA